GAGGAAAAAGTTTCGAGATAAGGATAGCAAAATTGTATAGGATCTTATTCTGGGCTGCATCGTATGGTGTGTATGGAGAGAGAAATATTCGCTGTTTTGAAGACCAAACACGGATAACAGAGCAGTTTAGGGAATTGTTTTAATTGAAATTGTATACTTGGTTTAATGCTGCGGCTACTAGGCATATAGATGGGTGGCCTAATTTCATGTTATTACTCTCTGATTTAAATCGATAATACACTTCATGTGTATCATGCATTGATTAATAAAATACTTGATTACCTTTAAAAAAAAATAAAGCCATTAGCGAAAGTGAAGTCAAGATCAGATCCAGAACATAAGAAGAAGGATTGAATCTTCTCTTTAGCCAACCCATCCTCCTTGTAGTTGTCTGTGACCTCTTGTATCCAAGTAGGTGTTATGGCAATAATCCTTAAAACATTCTAGGTCTCCCTCCTACCTTCTTGAAAGGGTGTCAACTATTGTGTTATCAGCACCCCTTTTGTACATGATTTCATAGTTGAGTCCCAACAGCTTGGTAAGCCATTTATTTTGTAGGGGAGTGGTAATCTGTTGTTCCAATAGGTATTTAAAAGATTGGTGATCAATTTGATGATAAAGTGGTTACCCTCCAGGTAGTGTCTCCATTTGTTCACTGTTGTAGCTAAAGCCAAAAGTTCCTTTTCATAAATGCATATTTCCATGTTTCTCACTCCAATAGCTTTGCTTAAGTGTGCTAAGGGATTTCTTTCTTGTGTCATTACAGCCCCTATTCCTGTCTGACATGCATCAATATCAATAATGAATGGCTTGTTAAAAGTAGGTAAGACCAACACTGGAATTGAACACATCGCCTGTTTAAGTTGCTAAAAGGCTGAATCTGCCACTTCTGACCATTGAAAGTTATCCTTCTTAAGGAGGTCTGTTAGAGGTTTGGCAAGTATTCCATAATGCTTGACAAACTTTCTATAGTACCCAATGAATCCCAAGAATCCCCTCAACTGCTTGATGTTTTTGGGCCTAGGCCAGAGTTGCATTGCTTCAATCATACTTTGATCAGCTGTAACCCCCTTTTCATTGATTATGTGACCTTCCACCTGTAATTGTCCAAAACTGCACT